AAGGGGTCTTCCATCCACAGGTTCACTCCCCAGATGACTGCAATGGCTGGAGCTAAGCCAATCTGAAGCCAGGAACCAGGATCTTCTTTTGGGTCTCCCACATGGGTGCAGGGGCCCAAGGACTTGGGCCATCTTCTACTGCTTTCCCAGGCCATAGCAGAGAGCTGGATTGCAAGTAGAGCAGCCGGGTCTCGAACTGGTGCCCATATGGGATGCCGGCACTGCAGTGGTGGCTTTACCTGCTACACCACAGCGCCAACCTCTACATTAAATCTTTAAAGAAAAAAGAAAAGAGTGCTGTATTTAGACCCTGTAGGAGCAGAGGCACTTCATTCATCCTTTCTGAAGGGCCTTGGCCTATTCAGAAATGGCAATATTTACCTAGGCTTTCCTGACACCCCCCTTTCGAAGGGAGTTCCTGCAGGCAGGGACTGGATGGATCAATAGTCTTTCTCTTAGCAATCAATGTGGAATGAATGACAAAGCCCTGAAAAAATGACCTGGAGGACGGACAGAACACAAACATGGTGATGAGATCCAGCACCAGCCTGCCAAGAAGCTGGTGCCGCAAAAGGCCCCTGCCGAGGAAAAGGGGGGCTGCCTCCACCTCCTCCTCCTCCTCCTCCCATGGGAAACCTGCCTAAGGATGCCAGCCTCACCCCAGCCCCCACTTCCCTGCCCTGCACCTTGGACTTCAGTGGGGGCCTGGCCCACAGCAGGTGATCAGTGGGTTCACGCACACAAAGTGTGTCTCCATGGTGCCAAGCACCCAGCACCAGCCTGAAGGAGTCTCCCCTGCCCTCCCCAGACCCTGTTGCCACCAGAAGAGACTTCTAATCCAGAGCAGGAAACCAGCTTTTGTTGTCCAAGGGAAAAAAAAGAAGAAAGAGAATTGCTATTATGAATCCAATTTAAAATAAACAGAACATACACAAAGGGTGAATCAATCAGTTGATAAGCATGAGTGTTCTCTTGTTGGAACTGATAAGCAGCAGGCTGGCGCTGTGGCACAGTGGGTTAACGCCCTGGCTTGAAGCACTGGCACCCCATATGGACGCTGGTTCTAGTCCCGGCTGCTCCTCTTCTGATCCAGCTCTCTGCTATGGCCTGGGAAAGCAGTAGAAGATAGCTCAAGTCCTTGGGCCCCTGCACCCCTGTGGGAGACCCGGAAGAAGCTCCTGGCTCCTGGCTTCGGATTGGCGCAGCTCTGGCCGTTGCGGCCAGTTGAAGAGTGAACCAGCGGATGGAAGACCTGTCTTGCGCTGCCTCTCCTCTCTCTGTGTAACTCTGACTTTCAAATAAATAAATAAATCTTTAAAAAAAGAAAAAGAACTGATAAGCAGGAAAGCTGACTAAAAGCAAAATGAAATGGAACAGAAACTAACTTCAGCATTTAGCTGCAATACAAGTCTCAGAAAAGGAATGTGAAAATCAACATGAAATACAGGAAAGGACAGTCTGATAGTGAGGTCTGGACATGCTGTATTTCTTTAAAGACCAAAGGCACAAAGTGCTCTGAGTTCTTCATTCCACATTCATTCCACATTTAAGAGGAAAAAGTACTGGGCCAGTGCTTTGGTGCAGCAGGTTAAAGCCGTGGCCTGAAGCGCCAGCATCCCATATGGGCGCTGGCTCGAGTCCCAGCTGCTCTACTTCTGATCCAGCCCTCTGCTATGGCCTGGGAAAGCAGTGGAGAATGGTGCAAGTCCTTGGGCCCCTGCACCTATGTGGGAGACCTGGAAGAAGCGCCTGGCTCCTGGCTTCAGATCGGATGGCACCATTGTGGGCATCTGGGGAGTGAACCAGCGGATGGAAGACCTCTCTCTCTGTCTCTGCCTCTTTCTCTAACTCTTTCAAATAAATAAAATATTTTTTAAAAAAAGAGGAAAAAGTACTGATCCATCCAGTCTCTGCTTTCAACTACTCACTTCTAAAGGGAGGTCAACTGAGTTAGCAATGTCTGTGTTAAAGATTTATTTATTAACTTATTCATTCATTTAGAAGGTGGAAGGAGAGAGGGAGAGGGGAGGAGCAGATGGATTGTCCACCTGCTGGTTTACTTCCCAAATGCCTGCAACAGCCAGGACTGGACCAGGCCCAAGTCAGGAACCTGGAGCTAGATCCAGGTCTCCCCCGTGGGTGGCGGAGACTCACGCACTTGGGCCATCATCCACTGCCTCCCGGCTGCATCAGCAGGAAGTTGTATGGGAAATACAGGAGCCAGGACTTGAACCCAGGCACTCCAGTACAGGATGTGGGCACCCCAAGAGCCTGCTTAAGCCACTGCACCACAACGTCTGTAAACTTCTCTTTTAAACCAGTAATTCACCTTCTGTTTCCGACGTGATATTCACTAACACAACCTTTAAACAATTAACTTGCTTGCCAATATATGGATAACAGAAAGAAAGTACCTAGGAGGATGGCACACATGGAATTTTAAACCAGGCGTAAATTATTCCGCACTCTTAAACCCGTTGAGTGTGATTAACAACAAACAGTTTTTCAGAGGTACAGGAAATCAACCATGAGTAGCTTCAATTGTGTTTTGAGAATGCAAGAGGGAAAGTAGGCCCCAGAAAGGAAGCAAGCGCTAACTCACTAATGAGCCGGAAGCAGTGCTGAGTCAGGACGGCGCGTTCCCAGCACACAGAGACACAAAGCTGACTCTGTGGTCTGCTGCCACAGCAGCTAAGAGTGAGCAGGCAGCAAGTCGCCACCTGTGACCATCACTGCTCAGTCCTGCAGGATTCACCAAGAGAACGGTTTGCTCTTGAAATTTTCTTTTTTAAATCATGCATAGGCAAACAGCTGGGAAATATTCAAGGTTCCAATTATCAGAAAATTTTCAGTTTACTAGCTGGTCTTGGGAAAATGTTCCTGACTTAGTCTATCATTTTCCACTCTTACAGAAAACGTTACTTGCTGAAGATTATGAGATCTTCTCCTTAGCCACATAAGGATTCTCAAAAACTGGCCTTGACAAAAATTATAGGGGGAAAAATGGGATTCCTCTCTTCTCCTGAAGTAAAAATGGCCGAGGGAAAAGGGAAAAACAGCATTAATTTTCTCCTTCAGTTACTGCCAGAGCAACCATAAATACAGCAGGCCACATAACAACATACTGCCACAAGCAGATCTTGCAGAGGTGGCTATCTGGCCTCACGCCTAAGCCATGGGTTGGGACCCCCTGCACCCAATATCAGAGTGCCTGGTTCAAGTCTCAGCTCTGCTCCAAGTCCAGCTTCCTGGTAATTCGCATCCTTGTAGGCAACAGCTGATGGCTCAAGCAGCTGGGTTCCTGCACCCACGTGGGAGGCCTGAATGGAGTTCTAGCTTCCAGCTTTGGCCCGGCCCAGCCCCAGTCATTGTAGGTATTGGGGAAGTGAACCAGCAGACAGGAGTTTTCTACGCCATGTGTCCTCCTGTTCTGCCCTTCTCTCCCTCTCACTGTGTGTCAGTCTTTCATATGAAATTTTAAAAAATAATTTGTTTAAATATATCTTGTGAAATACTTGTTTTGTATTCAACCTTGTTCCTCTTTTATACCACCCTGTTGGGGGCGGCAGTGTGGTATAGCAGGTAAGGCCACCACCTGCAATGCTGGCATCCCATTTGGGCACCAGTTCAAGTCCCGGCTGCTCCACTTCTGATCCAGCTCCCTGTTAATATGCCTGGGAAAGCAGTGGAGGACGGCCCAAGTCCTTGGGCCCCTGCACCCAGGTGGGAGACCCCAAGGAAGCTCCTGGTTTTGTCCTGGTCCATCCCTGCCCGTTGTGGCCATTTGGGGAGTGAACCAGTAGATGGAAGATCTCTCTGTCTCTCTTTCTGCCTCTCCTCTGTAATTTTGACTTTCAAATAAATAAATAAATATATGTAAAGACACCCTGTTACACAGCATGACTTGACCACGTGTCTGCTGCGATGAGAGATAAGGAGCAAAGGGCAGGCCCTTCATGTCTCTGTTTGATCTCAGACTCCTAAGCAGGCCCCAGTGTCTACAGCCATTGAAACACTGGCAAGCCTTGAGCCCCTGAGCGAGGGAAAAAGCCACAAGCTTCAAAACCCAACAGCGTAGCTCTTACACTTACCAGCTACAGGACCTTAGATGAGCTGCTTCACCTTCCTGAGTTTGCTTTCTCATTTGCCAAATAGATAAAATATTGCATCTCAAGATCCTTTAGACAACCAAACACCATTATATACGAAATGTACCTTGCACAGAAGGAAAGAAAGGAGAAAGCAGGGGTGAACTACAACCCCTAAAGTATTAAAAGTCATGAGCACAAGAGGCAAGAGAAACAAAGCAACTGCCGCAAGCTCAGCATGACAGCACGTGCACAGTATGTGGGGTGGGGGGCAGTGTATACAAGGCCGAGAGAGCATTACAGCACGTGCACAAGTATGTGGGGGGACAGTGTACACAGGGCCGAGAGAGCATTACAGCACATGCACAGTATGTGGGGGGACAGTGTACACAGGGCCGAGAGAGCATTACAGCACGTGCACA